TTGTACTACTAATGCTTGCGCGTCTCATTAGACGAGAGTGTGGAAGAAAGTGAGTGATATTAGTCAACTTGATGAGTCAGCTTGGCAACATGTTTCGAGAAGGCTGTTTGTAAACTCCTTCAACAGAGATATCTCATCCATCACTCGAGATCTTCATTATTTTCAATAGGTCAATAGTATATTATGACTGTAGGACTTCATATCAGTTTACTCTGTTCAGTGGTAATCAACTGAGTTGCCATAAATGTGTGTTTCACCGCCATGATAGCGGCCCAAGTGCTGGTCCTTACATGAGTAATATGGATACTAAATCAATGATCGTTATTTATCTACTAAAAGACTGAATTGTGCGTAATTCTTGAGACTTCGGCCTTTAGAGGAGATATAGCTACCTATTCAAATTCTCTCTAGCCATAGAACTAACGACAACCAGAGTACCTCGCCATCATGACAGTGACTTGGCTTATCAAACAGCGAGAAAGGACAAAAGTATAACGTAATATTAAAGCTATATATTATGTCTCCTGTCAAGCACTTTTTTATAGCATATGGATAGCGTGGGATTCATGAAACTACCAGTATTATTCCATAAATATCAAATACCATTATCAACAATACAGCTCAGCGATTGTCGTACATTCCACTTCTCACTGGCTAAGCGGAACACTCTTGGCCACGATATAGAACTGAGTTATAGCGTCGAACATTGTGTCTTTTGGATATGCTTATATTTCAGCGAGGAGGAATTTGCCAAGTGATATATGTTTACCAAGTTATGCCACATCGTGAACTGACGCCCGCACGTTACTAGATGCCAGAGACTAACTAGGTACGAAGTATTCATGTAGCAGCACGCTTGGCAGAATTCCGAGTCATGATCTAGATTAAAGGGCATTTGCCACCGAATTCCATTGTATGACTTGGCACACATTCTACAGCTATTGTAGTTTTTATGATGGCCAGCTTCATATTTTGTCACTTACAAACTGCGCGTTCCTAGTTTTTTGGAGGGAGATACGCATGCTTTTGTGTACCCGTGGTGAGCGTATGATGCCATCTGGCATATTTGGGGAATCTGAATTACCTTACCTAGCAATGATCTTCAAATGACAACCGTTCATGACGTCTGTCAGGTAAGAGAACCGCATTTCTGGATTTGCTCGGGACCTTTTAGATCTTGGACCTCTCCCTACAAGAGTAGGAACCGAATCAGCGATATAACAAATACTAGAGACTGGTGCTAAGGGCCTGATCATTGATGCCCCCCTACGATGAAGGTAAGTGTCTACCATGAACCCAATATTGGCCACCAATAGCTATTTGCATTACGCAAGAGGCGAGCTATTATGTTGCTAGAGAGCTACTCACGCTAGCTTCGATACTTACTCAAATATGTCGTTTGGCGATGGAATTTGCCGATAGCTGGAATACCAGCTAAGGTGCTAAAGCACTCATGTTTGAACCTACGATGATTATCGGCAGCGTCAAACCGTGTCAGACAAGACAATCCGGCTTCTAACTTGCCGATAGCTGGAATACCAGCTAAGGTGCTAAAACACTCATGTTTGAACCTACGATGATTATCGGCAGCGTCAAACCGTGTCAGACAAGACAATCCGGCTTCTAACTGTGGAGTATCCGGAGAATTTTGATCCAATGCCCAGGGTTCGGTATGCGTCGTGGTCTGGGTGGAGGAATGCGGCTTATATGTCTGGACCAGACTACTGGGAAGTTAGACCATTTCCGGGTTCTATCCTCAGACATCATTGGCCACTACCACAATTCCTTCATACAGGTCAAGGCACGACTCATGAGATGGATCGTCATCGCATCTCCAGATCCGTCTATCGAGGCATGGGCCAGCTAGCCCTCTCTGAGCTTGACTGGGTGGCCACTGCGAAGCCATCGCGTGGTTTTCCCTCGCTTCCTTGCCTATACGGGCGACCATCTGCCCGTTAATGTCTGGCTAGAGCTATGGCCACGCGGCGCCTCCGTTCTCTGGCTTCTGGAATCATTGTTCCTGCGTCAAATTGGGTCCTGGGTGGCGGTATATCCGGTATTTGACTACGATGTGGCGCTTGCTTAATCGTAGAGCTGGTCATGGCAATGATGCCTCTTCAGGGTCTCGTCCGTTTCGCCCCAGAAACCTGGTATGATGGCATAGAATCATGGTTTGCGCGACAAGAGGCTTCTAGTGCAATCCCAGATTCGTACTTAAACCTGAAACAAGAACTTCCGAAGTGAACTTGACCTTCTTTCACAACCACCACTCTCATTGGTTATCAAAATACGCTCTCTTCCCACCTCTTGTCTCTCCTTCTATTAACCTTCGCACTATCCTTTGAACCATGGTTCAACTTAAGAGTTACGCAGTTATTGCTACCACCCTCCTTGGCTGTTGTCTAACAGCACCTACAACTCCTCCTGGAGTCGACAGCACAATCCCTGGCAGCTACATCATTACCCTCAAGTCTGAGATCAAGGCCCCTGCAGTTGAGGCTCATATGAAATGGGTTGACGGTGTTCACAAGCGAAGTCTCGAGAAGCGTGATGGCGACAATGGCGTCGAGAAGACATTTGAGACCGAGGCTGGTTTTCACGGATACTCTGGTACATTCGACGACGAGACAGTGAAGCAGATTAAGAAGAGTCCCGAGGTAAGATATCTAAACCACAGAAATGTGCTTGATGCCTAACAACTGAAATAGGTCGTCCGTGTTGAGCCTGACCGTAGAGTCAAGTTGACATGGGGCGCTTCCAAGCGTCAAGAACAACCCGTGGAACCAGCACCACCAGCAGAAACGACAAGTCAAGAAGGCGAGGACACTGAAGATGAGAATGAGGATAATCAGCTTGAGAAGAGAAGCGAAATCAACCAAAAGTCAAGCACATGGGGCCTTGGAACCATCTCACACCGCAACAAGGGCTTCCAGAACTATATCTACCACAAGCAAAGCGGCTCTGACTCATTTGCCTATCTTGTTGATAGCGGTGTCCGTACCACACACCAGGAGTTTCAAGGCCGGGCCAAGAATGGTTGGACAGCCTTCCGAAAAGATTATGTTGACCGACTGGGTCATGGTACTCATGTTGCTGGAACTATCGCTGGAAAGACCTTCGGAGTCGCTAAGAAGGCCAAGATCATTTCTGTCAAAGTCTTTCAGGGCGACTCTGCCGATCTCTCCGTCATTATCAAGGGTATTGAGTGGGCCGTCAACGATATCATCAAGAAGAAGAGACAAGAGTTCTCCGTGATCAACCTCTCTCTTAGCATCGATGGTGTATCTGGGGCGCTCAACGACATCATCAAGAATGCCGCCAAGTCCGGGGTCATCTCTGTGGTCGCCGCCGGAAATCAAGGAACAAATGCCAATACGAAATCTCCAGCTTCAGCCCCTCAGGCCATTACTGTTGGAGCCATTGACAAGAACTGGAGAATCCCCAGCTGGTCCAACTATGGCAGCGCTGTAGATATGATGGCACCAGGCGTCGATGTCGTTTCTGCCTCGTATCTCAGCGACGACGGCACTTACATTGAGAGCGGTACCTCGATGGCCACTCCTCATGTTTCTGGTCTTGTACTGTACGCGCAGTCAGTGTACGGCATTACCGGCGTTGACACCACAACCAAATACATCAAGAAGTACGCTACCACGAATAAGGTCGTCGGTAGCCGCCGAGGCTCACCGAACCTGATCGCCAACAACAACAATTCTGCTCAAAGCAGATGATTCTCGATTCATATAGCCTGAGTTCGACCAAAATAAGGAACTGCGGACAGGAGGGATGATCAAGCAAGGCATTTTGGGATTGAGAACAAGCATACACGGGATAGCGATTGTTTTGTTTTTACATAGACTTTGATTCGATCTTTACCAATATGTATCAATACCAGCTACTTTGACCTGGGAGTCTCGATGAACTTTTACTCTGTGACGTTTCACTGCACGAGACATGTTACTGTTGTTTCGAGAGGTTTTAATTCCCCGATGGCCAGAACTTAAGGTGATACAGTCTGAGACCTTCTATTTTCGTGTTGAGTTAGTTCCTCATGGTTCTCAATCTCCTACAAGCTTTTATTCCATACTCAGACGTGTCTCTGATAATCTCTAAACAAAATGAGGCTCAAAATAGCAGAGCTGACAGGGGTTGCCCTCTGTTTATGGTATACCTAATGTCCCACTTGAGCATGGATGGACACAAATGGTGACTAACTCTGTGTTTATCAAAAGGTGCCTTTCCTGCCCGTTATATATTTCCAGTTTTTGGTTTTTTCTTTCTTTTCCCCTAGAAATATAGTAACGGCGCGTATGTGTTGATCACTCCCGCATCACTAACAATGAGAAAAGCACGAAGAAGGTTGGCTTTAACGAGCGAATATTGGACTGATTCTCTTTAAGAATCTTGGGTCATGAGAGACTGCCACGGTATGAACTTCGCCGAGACGCAGATCAGAAATATACGATAATGTTGAAGAGGGAAATTACAGTGTTGAAGTCGGGATGCATCCAGCAGCTTACACGGAAAAGTGGACAGAACGGGCACTATACTAGTTCGCGTTAGAGCAACGCCAGACCTGCACGGTTAATCGAACCATACTTTGAAGAGATGTTCTTTTTAAGAAAAGCTGCAGTAAAGGTTCTAGCTCTATTAGCACTAAAATGTGCTAAGTTAATTCAATCTATAGGCCCTCCGCGATCTGTAAATCTCCAATTCATAATTAGTTCTTGAGATTGGCAATAGTACCTAGAAATATCGATGAGGTTGGGGAAACACGGATTTAGCACTAGATCCTAAATCCGTGGCCCGTCATGGAGTTACATCACGAGTTCCGACACTGTAGAATTACAAAACTCTTCAAGTCGCCATTCAAAGTAACCCTATTTCATAGATCTGTAGGGATTTGCCAACGGATCGACCGCTGTGTAGTATTTCAGGCAACCTCTCACACTTTTACCTTGATTCCATTTCAAAGTGTTGATTCCTGGGTTTCTTATATCATGCATCTCATCCTTACTGGAGCCACTGGCCTCGTTGGCTCTAGCGTGCTTGACGCTATGCTCAAGTCAAAAGACATCACCAAGATCTCAATACTGAGCCGAAGACCAGTGCCGATGGCAGCAGGTGATTCCAGAGTCAATGTCATCACTCACAATGACTTTACGAGATACAATTCAGAAGTCCTTGATCAGCTTCAAGGCGCAAACGGTGTGGTCTGGGCGTTGGGTATCAGCCAGCTCAAAGTGACAAAAGAGTAGGTTTGCATTGAATTGCTTATGGCCCAAGTTTGTATAAGCTGACAAGGTGCGGCAAAGCGAATATGTCACCATCACCAAAGACTTTCCGGTTGCTGCTGCGAAAGCCTTTTCCAAGATATCACCTACCAAGGAACCTTTCCGATTCATATACGTTTCTGGCCATGGAGCTACCCTTGAGCCGACTTCATTTACACCCATCTTCGGTCGTGTGAAAGGTGAGACTGAGAAGGCACTTTCTGAGCTACATGCGCCGTCGAAATTCCACGTCGAATCTGTACGTCCTGCTGGGGTAGATGCTACAAATCATGAGGCTATCAAACCATATATTCCCAACCCTGGTATGCTCTACAACGCTATGTATTCGCTCATGGGTCCCCTCATGAGAACCGCACTTCAGTCGTTGCATAGCCCAACGGAGAAACTTGGCCCTTTTCTCATGAATATGGCGATGGGGAAGTATGACAAGCGGTTGGATGCTGGAGGAAACGGCATCTCCAGTATCAACGGCTCGAGGATACTGGAAATTGTAGCGTTCCAACGGTTGTATGAGCAATGACAGTTTTTTGCAACGAGGGAGAGTTGTTTGGCAGTGGAATTTTCAAGAATGGTCATCTAACGGCTATGGTGGAAATGATCCAATAGATGAAGCTTTATACCGGTGATTGCTGTATGGTGTAGTTGTTCTCCAGCATTAAGTGCTGACGCACGCCTTTTACAAGATATTTTTAATGTTACCGCGACTCACATTCGTCGAGGTTCTAGAGGGTCTTGGAGCAACAGAAGCGGGAAACGGGGAGGTCAGCTTTATTACCTACCTACCCAGATAAGACTAGGCTCGTCAAGCCTCCGCATTGATTGCAGGTATATCTCTCGTGTCCCTATTTGCTGAGAGTATTTATTTAGTCGGGGCTTGGTTTTGTAATTTTGTTCTTTTTGCCTCTGTTTCTTCCATTTTTGTTTCATTTCCTTGGTCATCTACCATGGTGCATCGCCAGAGGGCGTACACGTGTGCCTCACAACTATTGACATCCAATACTTGTACTGAGGCCCGAAGGTCTGAGGCACATAGTTTTCAAGTTTATATGTATGTGCCTACCTCAGTACTTATGCAGTTTCTATGGTCGCCAAGCATCTTCTTTCTCCACGCAATTCGATCGCAGGCTAAGCTTTTACTCATCAGCATTCCCTGTCATGATGTTCTTGGCCTGAGTCATCACATTTGTTACTCACACATCGGCGTCCAACGAAAGAGTCACTGAATTCATTCAAAGAACTCGATCAATTCTTTATCTCAGCTACGCTGTTCAACTAACGATCTTCATAATTTCAACGCTACAACGCCGGCTATAAAAACTTCGTCCATGGCTCATCCCTAAACCTTGTTGGAAGCATCCTTCTCGCTCTGATCAGCGTCTCGGGCGTCTTGCTCAACAACCTCAGGCGGATCCTCGATCTTGGTCATCTTGTAGATGATCATAGCTGCGAACAAATCACCGGAAACGTTGACAGCGGTACGGAAGCGGTCAAGGAACCAGTCGATAGCCACGATGACAGCATACATTTCGGTGAGCTCGACATTAACAGAGCGAGCAATCATGACCGAAAGAACAAGCGAGGCCGAGGGAATCGGAGATACACCGATAGAGGCCAGTGTTGACAGCAGTGCAACAATGATATAGTCGGCAGGCCCGAGGGTTGTGCCTTGTGTCGCAGCCATGAAGACAACGGCAGCAGGAAGATAGATGGCAGTGCTGTTGCTATGTTAGTCTTGCACTTCGGGAATTACGAGGCAGCGACTTACCCGTCCATGTTAATCAGACAGCCCAGAGGACAAGAGAATTTGTAGATGGTGGAAGGAATACCACGGTCCTTGGCGCATCGAAGAGTGACCGACAAAGTGGCAGCAGACGAAGCAGTTCCCCACGCAGTGATCCAGGCAGGAGAGATCTTGATCCAGTACGAGTAAGCATTCATCCTGGTGAAGGCGAAGAATATGATGGGCACGATGATTAGGATATGGATGAGCATGGTGGACAGGGTGGCACCGATGAGAAGACCTAGATTCTTGCCGATCTCGCCAATGTCAAGCTTCATCAGGTTGGGCAGAATCAGGAAAAAGACACCGATAGGGGCCACCGCAATGAGGAACTTGATGATCTTGGTGATCATACGTTCAATCTCCTCGGTAACGCGAATGATGGGCGAGCGAGGGGATTCAATGAGGTATCCGACGATGATGGCAGTGATGATGACTGCCAGTAATTCGTCTTCGGCCAACGCCTTAACCACATTCGAGGGGATCAAAGAGAAGAACATATCCTGTACAACCACGGGGATGCTGCGTTCGTTTTCTTTGAGTTTTTCCTCTTGGTCTTCATCAAGTGCGCCAGTGCTGACCACTGAGTACTGTTTGGCCCAGACGAGGCCCATCATGATACAAGACAGTGTGATGGACACGAGAGTGGTGATGATGTAGTACCCGACAGTCCATCGAGCAAGAAGAGAACCCCCCTTGCCCATCTCTCGGAGTCTGGTCACAGCGAGCAACATAGAGCAGACGATCAAGGGAAGGACTGCAACTGGTCAGCGGCTGACTCTGGGTCGAAGAAGCTGTTGCTGGCTTCAAGCCAATAGGGAACTTACCAACTGCCTTAAGGGCTCTTAGCCACATGTTGCCAATGATACCGACAAGGATGGGAGCAGCCTCCGGAATATCGTCGACCTGAGTAGCGACGACAACGCCGATGGCAATAGCGAACAGGGCAGCTACGATGATTTGAAGAGCTGAGCCGGGTTCTTTGAAGCTATGCCACCACGGCTTCTTTACAATCTCCTCCTGGGCATGGTCGTGAGGAATGTCGCTGCTGGAATTGGTAGGCACCTGTACCGGGCGTGCCTCGGAGACATCCTTGAACTCATCTTTGGTGGCCATTGCAAGAACAGCAAGCCTGGCTTGAGTTTCAAAGACTGAAGACAAGACTAGGACCGCGGAGAAGTTTTGGCAAGAGACGGAATGGAGAAGAGGACTGGCACTACAATTCCTGGTCAACGTCAAGAGCACACCTCAGCTTTTATACCTCATGGCGCTCTCTATCGCCAAGCCAAGCTGACTACATGGGAGCAGATGTTATGGAGCATCAAGAGAGTCTGTCAGGAGAGCGACACCAGGGCATGAATGAAGTGCCCAGAGAATCGCGTGCCGAAACCAGCAAAGATGCGACACATTGGAAGAAACACTCGAGCTTGGCCTGTCTAAGAAGAGAAGGTGAGCATTACGAAATTCTTTCCCCATCGCCAAGACAACAAGCATCAACTCCTTGGTCTCTTGATAACCTGGTAGCTCGGGTAAGCCGACTCAGAGTCAACTGTTGGCAGACATTGTGGAGAAGACCAAGGAGTACTGGTTGATTGAGAGTTAGGATTTGCCCGAGGAGGCGACGATGCCAAGAGAAAGTGCAAGCGGACGAGTCGCTCGAAAGACGAGCCAAGAGAGCCAAGAAGTCGAGGCACTATTCCAGCCCATAACATGTTGTACATTCTCCCCAAGCCAAGCCGCCACACACGACAGAGTACCATGCATTACTAGGTTGAGCCCCATACCGCAGAGATGGGGATTGCACAGACGGGGCATGACTGCTGGTGTTATCTAGCCAAGCACGAAGTACATTCTAAGATGTTGCATGTTTTACGAAATACCAAGAGTGATAACGCAGTGCCGAGACTTGCTCAAGTCCCGCGTATCTCGACGAGAGATAAGGTGTCAGGGATCTGGCTCGTTGTTTGATGCTGGAGATAGCGATCATCCAGCAATGATAGCTTACTTCGTGAAGCAGCATCACGTCAATCGACAAACCACCAGAGGCGGGTGAGCGATGTGGCGTGCTTAGGCTACTCGACGAGCGATACTATAAACGCAGGATGACTAACGGCATTACCTGGTGGCTTAAACAGTTCTCGTACGCTGGGCGGTAAATGGTTTGTCTCACCATCATGCACTCCTCGGACAAGAGCACACCACGATAGGAGCTCCGGGGAGGCACGGAACGAATGAGAAGGAAATTAGGACCAGAACGGAGTAGGCTCAATGATTTGAGCAACGGCGTCTTCAATACAGGGCTACGGTACTCTCGCTACCGAAGCACCAGCTCACCAATTTTAAATCAGCGGTCTCCAAGAAGTCCGAGAATAGGTTTTCACGTCTCCATCTCAGGAGTTTAAGCAAGGGTCTCGGTGTGCCTGCTCATGTTTCCCCCGGGGGTGAAACTCTGAGCTGAACCCTGGCATCGTTTTCTTGTAACCAAATTTGGGGGTTGTTCTCCGTGGGCTTTGCTCCAACCGCGCTCCTATTCTGGAGTCCATTGGATTGTTCAGGAAGTCTCTGATTCCCATGGCGGCTAATTTGCGGCCAGACTTCCTTGCCAGCTATCGAATATCTCTCAGCATCACAGTGCAATAGTACATTGCCTAGCTGGCTTCCCTGTGGATATATCTTTTGCCTCGTTCTCTTGGCTGACCGTGTCTTGGATCATCACGCGGACGATTGTTACGTTCCATCGAGGATCCATGCCACCCATTCCCTCGGAACGATCTCATGCAGAAGCAAGACTCCCAACTCCTCAATCTGGATCCAAGTCGTACGCTGTAAGGGAATCCTACGATTGTGCAGAGTATATGGGGAATTCTTTGGAAGGCTTCGTCAGGAGATAACCGGGCATGACATTCTACAATTGCCGCATGAGGCGATTAAGCATCACCGGACTCGGGTTCCGAACGAATCAATCATCACAGAGGCAACCTGCATCCTACGCGCTAAGTAGCCTGTTTAGAGTGCCTAAGACTAGCTTCCGTGCAAACGCCTGCTACCCCAAAAATGAAAAGGTTCTGGAAACTTACTCAGAAGAGTCGACTACGCCTTATGTCGACATTTGGGGGTCACTTGTATTTCGGACAATACGACAAGGAGCAGTACCCCCCTCGAGCGGTGCGCGCCAACCTCAAGATTTCGATACCTCGTTTCGTCTTGCTCCAGCTCAGCGCTATATTCATCACAACGAGGGATATTTGCGAATGGCCAAGGGTGCTGGAGCCTATCCCTCTACAGCTCAGTGTCCGGCCGATGGTACGGCCAACGTTCGACACGGGCCTCTTCACTTTGGGGAAATAGCGTATAATCCCAGGCAATTGAAGCGAATATGCCTTCACCCCGCAGAGCATCGACTTATTACGTTTAAATATCCACTTAAGCCCACTGAATAAAACAGGTGAATAGGATGGCTTGACTCGTCGTCAAACTCATCCAACCTAAAGCTATCAAATGGCGCATCAGTGTATCCTGTTTCTCTCCGCAAAAGATACCTACACTGGGGGTACTGACAGACGATGGAGAAAGGCAGCGTGAAGGCATCTGATGCGATAGCGAACAGAACAGAACAACCTTGAAAGTCAGGATCTCGTCTGCGGGCGTCACTGTGCTTGGCGGGTAGTGAGATTGGGAACTGATCATTCCACGAAGGGCATGTGGGAAGGTCTTGGAAAAGTCTTGGGAGATAGATAGAA